AGTGTATATATATTGAGAAGCTTGAAAAGGAATTTTCTCTTATTCAAAATGAAAAAAAAATAACGTAGAGGTGGTTTAACTTTGGAAACAAGCAGAATGAACTTCTAGGTTTCGAAGTTTTGATTGAAAATTCCTATTTTTAAAGCTCTCAATGGTTTATATTTGCTTGAGAAGTAAAGTACAGATTTCTGTACTGTTTATAGCTCAAAGTTACCTCAAAACTAGCTCAGTTTTTCTGAACTGAAACCAAGCTTATTACAAATACAAAGCAATAAACAGAGACATCCAGAATAAACTGGAAGAAAAACTACAGAAGCCTCAGTGTCAATTCATGCACACGTCACTGTTAGCAACAAGTACTTATGGAAACACTGAAGGGACAATCTTGTTCATTAAACTTTTGTACAATTGCCAGATTGCAGGATGATTCCTTTACTACAACACTGGTGCTGATGTGTTCTAAACAATTAGTAAAGCCCACACACCAAAAACTAAAGAGGTGTTAGTTCATGATACAAGTCATTCTCTTGTTGCAAAGAATTTTGCCCAAACGGTTTTGGTTGTGGGAAACTTGTTCAATTTAAATGATTTTATGACTATTACAGTACATGATTATATTATACATTAGCGACCCCTTAATTTTCCCAAATGAGGGCCAAGGCCGCCTTGAGGAGTCACCTATTTTAACAACTTACACCACTATACAGTAATGTGTTATCTGTCAGTCAGTTAGTATTGTTACGTCTCCGTTCGTTAGTTAATTTTCCGTAAAAATTCTTTCCGGAGAAACTTTACCGATACAAGTCCTTTCTTAAATAAAACTGGTTTATTCTTTCTGAATACAACTTTGCGATACACTTAATTTCAACAGTCGCGCTATAACAAACGCTTAATTCACAACGAATGTCTCACGTACTCAACTCAACAATATTCTGTCCGCAGTTCAATTACACATTGTTCCCGTCGCTTCTTGGCCGGTCTTATATATACAAGACTACCCCATATCTAGTTGTCTCCTGACGCTTCAAGAACGTTCTAGAAGCGCGTGGCGTGTTACTAGAGTCACGTGACCTCCGCTGTCGTAACAGTATGTTTGTATAAGGATTCAGCCAGGCGAGCAAATTCTTTAACTTTAGAACCTTCAGGTTTTTGTAAAAACCTTTTGCTTTTAGTTGTAGCTTAACACTCATGTTAACCTTGATTTTAATAAACGTTGTTGTAGAGTGCTTTTAGCTGATGTCAAACTTTTAGCTTAAGCATTTGGATTTTTCCCATGTTTCAAAAT